TTAGGACCAAATTTACGCTCACCTAGACCATATGATGATCCTCATGGACCAGGATTTGTTGCCAGAACCTCTACAAATTCAATTAACCGGCTAGCTATAAAAGAGTCTCGTGATTCTTCCGATATCCTTCTCGCAGAGCCACGACCGTGAAAATAGGAGCCACAGGAACATCATCCAACATACAGACTGAATCTATTATTTCGTTGATCACAAAATTTGGTGTAGTCGTAAGAGGAATTGGAGCATTTTCTCCGTCCTAGAAATCAGTATACAGTGAAACGGCGGTTAGGTTAGATCTTGCAAAGATGTCGAGATCATAACGTTGTGTGTTTTATAAGTGGAAATAAAATTTATTGAAATAACACTAAGAATTTTGATGCATCAAGCGTAAGCATACGGAAGAGAGCTGGTGTTCTTGACAATCTGATTTGCACAAGTAATGCGTAGTGGAAAAAAATAGTTTGAGTCTTACAAAGACATGAGTCTCTATGTGATTGAAATTAAGACTCTTCTCTTTGGATCAAGTTAGAATATGAAACGGATTCACTAAATATTATGGTTCATAAACCCACTCACCAGCATCATTGTCATTGCTTGGTATGGGTTAGCGAAATTGGATCATTGCGAGGAAAAGGTAAATGAGAGGTTTATCTGACCACACTCGTGCTTCTCTGCATCCTCCAAAATCGACATTGTAATATAATCATCAGCTTTTGAAGTAACAGAAGCCAACTTTCCGTGGTAAGGTACAAGGAAAGCACCACAATGAGTTGATGTTACTTTGATCATACTCATCTTTTCAGATCTGACAAGGAAGCTCAACAAGAACTTATCAGCACGATCACTTTCAAGAGAGGCTCCGTAATACACAACCCTGTTAATGCATCGTCCACGGGGTAAAGGGCAATGTTCAGTGATATCTTGGATGACTCTCCATGATTCTCGAGCACTTGCCAATCTAAGAACCTGAGGAGGAAAAAGGCATATAACAGCACTTTGTATGTACCATAGATCCGTCGTTTCCTAAAAACATATTTTGGGTTTGGGTAAGGTTGTGATGCGTCTCATGGTGGGGTTCCAAATTGCGAGCCTCCCCGTTCTTGTAAAGCAGATATGAGAAGACGGGACTTGTGGCGGTTTTGTAGCGGTTTTGTGACAAGATGAGAAGACGTGGACTTGTGGAGTGCACGGGGAATATCCAGGCTAATGATCCAAGCATTTCAATGCGTTCACAACGAAATCTTTCCGTTCACCTTATATGGATCAATGGTTTTCATGACTACATTATGATCTAGCTGAAGTCTAGTTTCAGTCTATGCCTACCGTGTTTCAGGGTTGGGGTGTGACATTCCTTGTCAGTGATCCCCAACAAGGACGACGCCTTCAAGACCCATCCGATGAACTTTTTAAACGCTCCAAGGTACTTTCTTTGTGAACTACAAACCCAAGACCGAGGTGAGATTTTTATGTTACCTCTCGGAGACTAAACATTTCTATGCTATCATGCTCTGACCCCTGATCATTTCTCTGCTAGGAGCAGGAGATTGACAAGTTCATCATTCAGACTGTTCCCTACTTGGTATATCAACAAAGCTTTTTATTAATATGGTAGTCATTGTGACAGATTCTCTTGATGTTTTAAACCATGAAACTTCAATGCACAACATTTCAAATTTATGAATTGAGTTCATCAAAGGTATGGAACTCTGATATCTATAAAGGAACTATGGCTGTTGTATACCCAGAAGAGTAAACTATACGGTAAAGAAATAACCAAACTTACAGTGAAGAAAGATGAGTTTTAAGTGCCGGTGGCGGTGATAAAGAGTTAGTAGAATTGTCAGTCCAGTTCTTGTCACCCCAGTGCCAAAGCATACTCTCCCAGAAGCAGAAATCTTCAAAACAAGTCTTTAGTCGCTTGTCTTTGATCTTAATTTTCCAATGTCCGTCTGTGAAGTTTCCTTTCTCAGCTTGCATCCTGTCCCATTCCAGTTGCGCCTTCTGTTTCGATCTCAGTAGACAGAATTTCTGCAGGTTCTCAGGCATGGCGTCGTGCACTTTCCACCAGGTTTTGTGAGCTACATCGCTTGCAAACTCCTGCAGAATGTCGACGTTCCAGTTGCAGTCATAGTCTCTGAAGCATAACCAAGGTTTGTTACCGAGGTAATGGAGGACGTAGAGAATAGGAGGATCAGTTCCAAAGAGACGTGTCTTCATCTGCTTAATCTCAGGCTCATCACCTTCCCAGAAATGCTTCAGGAAATTCATGTGTTTCGGGATCCGATGCCACCACGTGTATACTTCGTTAAGGTAACCTTGGTCTCCTCCATTGTATGACACGATTTCATTGATGTGATCCATAAGTAGCTGGAATGTGGAGTTTGATGGTTCAACTACCATCACACCGGAGTTGAAGAGCGTAGCATTGTTTCCGGTAGCAGATATCTCAGGCATCTCAAAGAGGAAGTCAATGTTCCTAAGGATAAGCATATCAGCATCAATAAAGATGATCTTGTCGTACTCAGTCAATTGCCAAAGACGAAACTTGCTGTAGTTCCATTCGTTATATGCTTCTGCTTCAGCTTTCGGATTCCTAATCCTTTGAATGGAATAGATCTTCCACCCAGCGGCAGCCAGACCACCTCTATGGTACTCAGTTATCGAGTCATCGACAAGTATCACCAGGTCCCGTGTCGAGCCAGCCATGCGAATGCTCTGTGCTGCTGTTATGGCTCCACAGACATAGAAGTTAGCAGAGTGCAATATGGTGGCATATGCTTCTCTCTTTGCACTTGCTGAGTAGAAAGTCTCTGCACGTAAACAATGCCAGGTTAGGACTCTTGAATCATTGGCGATGATAAACCAGCCATGTCTAAAAGATGAGTATTTTCAGAGTAATGATTCAAGAAAGAAAAAAAAAATTGGTGTGGGATGATCAATGTAGGCAAATAGTCATCTGGTTCAAGTTAGATATGCCTCATACTAGCTCAGGCAGTGGATATGCAATTGATCAAGGAATACAATTTGCTGATATACAACCTTATGAAAAAGTAAAGAAATATAAATTTGATACTGACCTTTAGCTTTAAGAGGAACTGTAAGTTCACAGGAACCAACAGGCAGCTGTACCTTTTGCCTCAGCTGGTGAAGGTTGGGCTTGTACAGCCATAGGTTTCCTTCCCGGGCGACAAGCTCCTTTCCAATAAAAAGATTTGGAATGGGAAAGCAATCAGTAATCAAAAGTACATGCACATCATGAAGCCCTTTAGAAGAAGTAGCCACCCGAGCTGCTGCAAGTTGCAAGTGTAAACGGGCAACATCCCTTGACCACTTTCCTGCTTTGTTGCATGGAAGCTTGGTGACGACAAGATCAATCCGAGGCTTGCCAGGAACTTGAATCCAAGGAAGAGAAGGGCAAGTTGGGACTTCAAATTGTTCTTCTTCATCAATCCATTCCGGGTATAGGGATTCCCAAGTTATGTTATTTGCCATATGGTCCAGGTGCAGTGCAATATGGTCACAGTCAGGTATCAGCTCCTTCCATTGATCAATCTCATCATCGTTAAGATTTATAAAGCCAACCCCTTGATACTCACTCTTTCCAGTCAACTTCTCGACAATGTTTGACATATGGTCCCAGTTTATCCCAGTTGTAGATGTATAGCGAGGATCAACTGCACTTGACTCTCTCGTCCATCTGTTCACAAAACTAGAAATTGCGAAAGCTCATTAACCAACAGGAAACAAACGTACCTCACTAAATATAGTGTAGTGTCATATAAGAATATGAGGATAGAATCCTCTATACAATTTAGGAAAGACAAACGTCGAGGAGAGGTCAACAAATCCTCTTACAACATAAGAATACAAGATAAAGGTGTGTGGAGGAACATGACATACCTAGAGTTATTACTGGATGGATGGTCTGCAATGTGTACCGCTGGTGAACGGTAGAGCGTATACACAGTTCCCAGCACAATAAGAATCAACACAACTTTCAGAGTAGAGAACTTTCCATTCCAATTTCTATACTGAAAGGAGCCATGTAAACCCTTCTCGAGATCTTTAGTATCTCGACTTCTCAGAGATCTCCTCCTGTTTGTCTCATCGCTATCAAAACGCATAGTACATATGTCAATCAACATGTAGGGAAGACATCAATGCAGTCTATTCCACAAGTCTACTTATCAACCTGAACGAGAGACTAAGGAAATGTACAATACGGAGCAGTAAAACGGGAAATTCAGTCATGGAGTCAACCTGCTACAAATAACTCAGACATGAATTTGAATCAAGGAATTGAAACTGGAAAAAACAAATCTAGAACAAACATTCAGCTAAATCGACAGCTAGATCACCATCAACGAAGTAATACGCGAACAAAGAAAGCACGAAATGGAAACAGGAACGCAGTAACGCGAACACGATCTCTAAATCCAACAGATACACAAGAGTCAGATCTCTATGATTCACATTCTCAAGTCGAAGCGAAGATTATAAACAGAATCCATCAAAGTCGAACTCAAATTGACACAGAAAAACAACGAACTGACACAGCGATCCGATTCCGCCAAATCCGTGTCGAAGCTTTAGCCAAACGGAGAAAAAGTACATCGAGAAACTGAAGAGAAACGGAAGCACAGAGAACGGAGACTTACGTTTGACTAGATAGTCGGTGCCTAGGCTCAACGGGACTAGGGGAAGGAAGCCTCATACTCTGGAATCGATCAGTCCTGCTGCAGCAGCAAGACGAAGTGGTGGTGGCTTCAGATTTTCTTCTACAATGTTTGATTCMCGAGAAAACTGCCGAGAAAATTTC